GGTATCACAAGCATTCTGGTTTGCGTTTATAGTCCAAGTAGTATAGACCAATCATTTTTGAGGGGCTTTTGTTGCCTACAGGTAAACAGTCCATGTGGAGAGCAAAAAAGTGCAATGCATAAACTGAAATGCAATGTCTGAACCAATCGTACAGTACAGGCCAAAAGTTTGGACACACCTTCTCATTCAATGCGTTTTCTTCATTTTCATGACTATTTACATTGTAGATTCTCACTGAAGGCATCAAAACTATGAATGAACACATGTGGAGTTATGTACTTAACAAAAAAAGGTGAAATAACTGAAAACATGTTTTATATTCTAGTTTCTTCAAAATAGCCACCCTTTGCTCTGATTACTGCTTTGCACACTCTTGGCATTCTCTCCATGAGCTTCAAGAGGTAGTCACCTGAAATGGTTTTCCAACAGTCTTGAAGGAGTTCCCAGAGGTGTTTAGCACTTGTTGGCCCCTTTGCCTTCACTCTGCGGTCCAGCTCACCCCAAACCATCTTGATTGGGTTCAGGTCCGGTGACTGTGGAGGCCAGGTCATCTGCCGCAGCACTCCATCACTCTCCTTCTTGGTCAAATAGCCCTTACACAGCCTGGAGGTGTGTTTGGGGTCATTGTCCTGTTGAAAAATAAATGATCGTCCAACTAAACGCAAACCGGATGGGATGGCATGTCGCTGCAGGATGCTGTGGTAGCCATGCTGGTTCAGTGTGCCTTCAATTTTGAATAAATCCCCAACAGTGTCACGAGCAAAACACTCCCACACCATCACACCTCCTCCTCCATGCTTCACAGTGGGAACCAGGCATGTGGAATCCATCCGTTCACCTTTTCTGCGTCTCACAAAGACATTTGGACTCATCAGACCAAAGCACAGATTTCCACTGGTCTAATGTCCATTCCTTGTGTTTCTTGGCCCAAACAAATCTCTTCTGCTTGTTGCCTCTCCTTAGCAGTGGTTTCCTAGCAGCTATTTGACCATGAAGGCCTGATTCGCGCAGTCTCCTCTTAACAGTTGTTCTAGAGATGGGTCTGCTGCTAGAACTCTGTGTGGCATTCATCTGGTCTCTGATCTGAGCTACTGTTAACTTGCGATTTCTGAGGCTGGTGACTCGGATGAACTTATCCTCAGAAGCAGAGGTGACTCTTGGTCTTCCTTTCCTGGGTCGGTCCTCATGTATGCCAGTTTTGTTGTAGCGCTTGATGGTTTTTGCGACTCCACTTGGGGACACATTTAAAGTTTTTGCAATTTTCCGGACTGACTGACCTTCATTTCTTAAAGTAATGATGGCCACTCGTTTTTCTTTAGTTAGCTGATTGGTTCTTGCCATAATATGAATTTTAACAGTTGTCCAATAGGGCTGTCGGCTGTGTATTAACCTGACTTCTGCACAACACAACTGATGGTCCCAACCCCATTGATATAGCAAGAAATTCCACTAATTAACCCTGATAAGGCACACCTGTGAAGTGGAAACCATTTCAGGTGACTACCTCTTGAAGCTCATGGAGAGAATGCCAAGAGTGTGCAAAGCAGTAATCAGAGCAAAGGGTGGCTATTTTGAAGAAACTAGAATATAAAACATGTTTTCAGTTATTTCACCTTTTTTTGTTAAGTACATAACTCCACATTTGTTCATTCATAGTTTTGATGCCTTCAGTGAGAATCTACAATGTAAAGAGTCATGAAAATAAAGAAAACGCATTGAATGAGAAGGTGTGTCCAAACTTTTGGCCTGTACTGTATATCGTCTGGCGATGATTTAGCTTTTCATAAGCTTTGTCCTAGTTTATCTCCATTGATATGCAGATATCTGTTTACAGAGATCAGTGAAAATGTTGTCTGGACCTGTCTCAAGTTGCAAATCGAGCTGTAAACAATGGCCGTTGCTCCCAGAGGTTGTCAGACAATAGCCAGTGGGGTTCTGAGATAGGGTTTAGGCAACAAAACCACTTGGTTAGGATGAAGAAAACATTGTGATAAACATTAGTCCAGAACGCTCTCACTCCCAACTCATCAAATACTGCCACTTAGACAGGGATCTCTGTGTCAGATACTGACGCACAGAAGCACCTTTCGCGGCAGTATGATATGAGCGGGCAACGTCAGTAAGAACCTAATTCAACAAATACTGCTGCTTTATCAGCGGATGTCAGCATGAGACACCGATGCACAGACACACTCTTAGCGGTGGTATAATACGCACCAAACAGCAACTATTTCTGACACTGCCGGCAACTACCGTAGTATAAAGAGCAAGTGAGTCCATATCGGGTGGGGGAAGGGGAGGTGGATTGGTCAAACAAACACAGGACTTTCATCCAGGAACCCCCTGTTTATTTCCAGTGTAAAATCAAAAGTTAATGGAGGCATTTTAATAACAGCGAAGTGTGCTAGTATGTGTAGCATGCTATGGTAGGGATGTATGTAACATGCCGTGACATTAGGGCGGTAAGAACTGTTCTTATTTCAGTCCAAACAATGATGTTTTTCTAAACCTAACCATGTCCTTTTATTGCCTAAACCTAATGAAGTACACACAGAAACAAATTGTTTTACCTACGTATATTGTAAGTTTATTATGAAAAAGACTGCATGCATGTAATGAGCATAAACTGCACATTTTCCTGTGAAAACGGACATGTATTTTGAGAAGACACAATGCGTGTGCCAAGCGCCAATTGAGTCTATGCCCGTGACCATCCAAAATTGACTCAGGAGGCTACCCCTCCTGCCTAGCAGAGTTATTTGACAAATTGGGATGAGAAAGGGTTGGTTAGTCATGTCAGACAACTCACATGACTAGTGACTGAAGTAAAAAGAATACTGATATCAAGTCTCACACAGGACACAAATACTGGTCTCCTGGGTCAAAGTCCTGTGCTTGTTTGATCCCTCCCACCTGCCCTAAGCCAACTTTGTCACTCTTTATGCTATGTCCGTAGCTTTTAACATCTAACACTGATGTGGATGAGTTTAAAACATAGTGGGCTGAAAATCCAGTACATCTTAAACAGATGCTAAAGGGTGCATTGTAAGTCCGTATCTGACCCTGAGGGCTACTACCTTAGTGGCATTTTATGACTCCCTGGGAGTGAGACCAGACTCACCACACATCTGCAGTGCATACATGCATACATACTGAGCATACACACACTCATACTGCTACTGAGAGGAAAAGCCATGGAACAAGCTCGAGGGTTTGTTCTGATGTATTCACTTATTGCCTTGATTTAAACCTTGAACCTTCGTGTTCCCTCACTTCACCTCTCCATCGCCCATCTGTTCTCCGCCTCCACTCTTCTCTTCCAAATGCGCGAAACCCTCCTGCATACTACCATTTAAGCAGGCAAAAGTTTTAAAAAAAATAAAAACAAATTAATAAAAAAAAAAACATTATGACTAACTGATGCAGACAGACAGTCCTCTCTGATTTTAATCTGCTTTTCTGTGAGGCAAGGGGGCAAAAGAGAAAAGGCAAACACAAGAAAAGCTCTCATTCTGTTAAGTCATTTTAAGAAACATGTATAGAAGACAGTGAGTTGTATGTATAGAGTGAAGGACAATGACAGACAGCCGACAGGCAAGGCTGATGTGATTAACATTGATTGTTCTCTGTCTCAGTTAGAAAGAAGTCACCCAGGTAGCACTCTTCACCGGCAAAACTGACAGGCTTCAGAGCTCTCGTTGGCATCAACATTTCAATAAATCCTGCACCATAACAAAATCCCAAACCAGCAGCAGAGAAGAGACAGAGTACGGTGTTTCCAGCCTCCCGCTGTATGGTTAGAGGCAAAACAAAAACATCTTGGATTTTCCTCTTTGGCTCCAAAGATGCTGATTTCCTGAGAAGTGACAGTTTTTTAGTGTTTCTCCCCCTCTTTTCCTAAGGACAAGTACACCCTAAGCCTGTGACAAATAATATATGTGACACTTTTAGAACAAAATGTCTCTACCAAAAACGAGTGTTTTGTAGACAGATTTATCGGGCCTTCAAGCAAGTGGAGCTCACAGTGCTGGACAGAGTGATAAAATACTCTGGGCTGACCCAATTGGCAAGTTGTGAAAAAAAATGCTTTATCGGTGGGTAGAAAGGAGCTCAGCCATCTGAAAACCAGCTATAATTCGCAAGAACTGAGAAAACAAAAAAAAAAAAAAACAGGTCTGAAAAACAGCCAGCACATAACCCTAATAAGCACTTGTCACGCAATTCCAAACACAATCTACACCCAACTACTGTGTAATAACAACATGAAAACCCAGGAAAACATAATTACACCATGTCAAGCTACAAAATCATGTTGTGCAAGGACGCCGTGCTCTGTTGGAGTTTATGGCTGCAGGTCTCATCACCCAGAAACAAGTCAGGAACAAGCTCAGGCTCTAAAATGCAGCCATTAAATTCATATCCTTGTAACTTTTTTTTCTTCATTTATTTTTTTACTGGCAACTGCATCACGCCTGTTAATTAAGGGATCACTCTTATAGTTTGTGCTTGAGCAAATAAATCAGACATTTCATGTGAAAATTAGTTACAATAAGTGTATGCGGTCACAACCGGAAAACCACAAGGCTGTAAGACTTCAGTTTTACAAGCCAGTGTCAGTGGTGAGGGAAATGAAGTGGTATTTCTGGAAATGCAATCAGAGATTGACCCGTGGTGCACGGTTTGCCAAGCGTCTGCTTTTTACACAACAGCCATTGGACAGCGCTGACATGCCGAGTGAGGGTTCAGAGGCTGCTTAGCCGTAGGGTGTTCAGTCTCTCTGCCTTTCTCTTTGTTCAGACATGGCATGAAAAGAGAGAGCCTGTCAACATAGGCCTACAGAAAGAATGAAAATCCGGCAGAAAATGCACTTTATTTCACATCCTGTAATACATTCTCTATCACCTAAAGCTGTACACAATGTGCTTGTGCGAGATGTGTTTGTCTGTAGGTTGCTGGAGAAAGAGCAAGTGGCAGCAGAGAGGCATGGACTGTAAACTTACTCAGTTGGGCGTAGGAGTGCAGTCTTGCCCAGGCGGAGGATGACGGGCCCTCGTGGGTTGCGGATCTTCTTGACATCTTTACTTTTGAGCAGGGAAAATCGCCTCACCAGATTAAAACCTGACAACAAATGGCACTCATGAGCACCCACATACTATATACAACACACTGAAAGATATGTGACTGCGTATTTTGAGCTTGTCTTTTCACCTGTGATATTGTGCCTGGATGCCTGAGGAAACTTCCACTCATCCACTTGTAAGGACGGGCACTGTTCTTCTGCGGAGATATACGACACAGAGGGGGTTAGGCAAGGAAAGAAAGTCACAAAGTGCGTGTGTGGATGGCAGAAACCCCAAGATGTACGATAATTCAAGTGTTCATGAAATGTCAAGAGCCCATCAGTCCTTGGAGAGGTTATTTCAAATGTAACCTTTCACGCTTACTGCTGGGTGAAATTGTTCGATGTGAGAGAGACCAAGCTACTGCAAACATACATACATTTGAGAGTAACAGAAATATTGATCTGGAAGAAAGAGAAGCACAGGGGAGTTAGTGGGGGTGAAAGAGACTCAGAAAAGGTGTGTAAAACACAGAAAGGGAGATGAAATAGGGGCAAAGCCGTGCAGAGAGGAACACAGCCCAGTCTGACAGGTTGTCTCGCACCAAGCTTGTCTGTCGCAGTAGCTTCCGTTTGATGGATATGTTCTCACCCTGTCAGGGAAGGTTACAGAGAAAAGTGTTGCCTGTCAGAGCGGCCTGCCTCGCTACAGAGGGCAGATGTGTGATGTGTAGAAAAACTGGGCTTGTACAGGTAGACGTGGACCCTGTGAATCACAGTGATCCACACTTAATTGATCTCTTTGGGGCCAAGGATTAAGGCCCCGAGCAAGATGCTCTACAGGGTACAGTTTTTCCAGAAGTGTGTGTTTTTTTTAGCTATGACCGCAGAGAATTTAGAAACAGGTGGTGCCCTGCATTAACCAAAAATAAAACCTAATGATTTGTGTTGCTCTCAGTAATATTCTAAATTACCGTGCCTTATGCCAGAGCTGAAGGTTAGATATTTTAATTAAGCCTCATTCAGTGCTGCCTCATGCACACGTCTCAAATTCTTGCGGACCAAATGAGAGCAATTCTCTGGATCTGAAGAGTGTGAAGGGTGGTGTCTTTTTTTATCAACTTTCCAACATAAAAACACGTAAGTGTGCTTTTCACACCTAATCTGTTGGATTTTAGTTGTGCGTTAGTACAGGTCATGTGGGCTGCTGTGAAAACTGTCAACCCAACCCTTGTGCGGACCAAACAACCAAACCGAGACCGCTCGAAAAGGTGGGTCTCAGTTCGCTGCTAAACAGACTCTGGTGTGGTTTGTTTGTGGTGTGAAAGAAAACAAACCAACCACAGGATCATACGACAGCAGATATGTGATTTTAGTATTCAACAGCTAAACCAATAATAAATCCATCTGCTGATCCTAAACCTGTCCACGATCTCATAATTGATCCTGATAAAGGCCATGTATATCCCATAACCCATTAATGCTAATGCATACATGTAACCATGGTAACACATATGCATGTCTGTGTGGGTATTTTCCCTGGTTAAAAAGCTGTTAAAACTGCCATTACTGTATCCAACTCTGTGTCTGTTCTTTAAGTCCATTAAAAAGTGTGTGACAGTGATCCCACAGTATTAAGCCGGGAATCATTACTGTACAAGACGCCTCTTTTCATCCTGTCTCTGTTAGTCATTACTCATGACATGCGATTGATCTACAGTCTAATAATAGCCTGCTTATAATGCTTATGATCAGTTATTTCTCTATGAGCTGTTTGTGACACCAAAGAACATAAATATAAACACTTTAGAAGCATTAAAGTGCTGCTGAATAAAGGTCTGTCACTGGAATTTGATTTCCCCACGTGGACCCTGATGATGCAGTACGACAAACTGTCCAATCAAAGAGTTACCTGTCAGTCGGTAGAGCTTCATGTTTACTCCTCGTGGTTCGTTTGCAAAAAATCAGAGTGAACAGGAACCAAACCAGAGCTAAAATCCAGCAATGTATCATTTTTGCCCTCTGGTTCGGACCAAATGATCTGAACTACAGTTGTGAAAGCACCCTAAGTTAAAGTGTAAGAACTAAGATAAACTGCAAAAAATGCACATGTAATGGCAGTGAGTAGTAGACTGACTTAATGTGGAGAAATTGAGTCATATTGCCGAAACTGCACCGACTTTTCTTGTTGCAGGCTGTTCATCATCTCTTTTTTTTTAATGAATGAACATTTTCAGAATGCACTTGAAGGCTAATTTTACACTAAAAGAAAGGGACACATTCAGAGGTGTTATTTAGAGGTTCTCATGCAATGGTTCAACAAGTCCAGCTCTCATGAGATCAGACTGGGCTGTGTGTGACTCATGAACTAATGAGTTTGACCCCCAGCATTAGATAGTAGGCAAGCTGCAGCTTTAGCCTCAGTCTTTTAGCAGCAGGCTACATAATGTATGTAGCTCCCATGTCCATAATTAGGACCCTGCCAGTTTTTAAACAAAACAGCTGGAATGACTGGCCTAGAGATAGTGTTTTTGTCCAAATGAGTTTCAGGGTTGGCCTTCACTTATGCTAGCCCATTTCAGCCCATGGATGAATTGGATACAGCATTGGAGGTTGGGTCACATTCATTCCTATGAAAGCTGCTCAAGCTCACATCCCAGCAAACATTTGTTGTCCATGTGGGTAGTAAATGGGTTGAAGAATGTGGGCTATATTGGACTGTCCACAGGTTCCATATTGCCCCCATGCCAATTGCCAACATGGGTAGGTTTACCCAAGTGGGCCCCAAATAAGATGCCCATTTTGGGCCCATACCCACTTGGTATCCAGGTGGCCATAGCATGACCCATGTGGGGCCCACCTGGGTAAATCATCCATGTGGGCAATTGGCAATATGGAACCCATGGACAGTCCCATGTCGGACCCATTTTTCAGCCCATTTACAACCAACATGTACCCTGGAAATCCAGAGTTCTTGCTAGAGCACAATTTGAATTTGCTCAGTGAGTCACTCTGGCAATCAGTAATGATGCTCATTACCCATGCCCTTGGTGCTGCACCAATCACATCGGTGTATCTGATATAGGCGGGCCAGAGGCAAGTTAAACAGATGACAGACAGCACTGCGACGATGAAGTCCGGAATTAGTCAGGAAACACTGCAAGAAAGCTACAGATGAACACCAGTTGTTCGAAACAGCTTTGGCCGCTACAATGAACGAGTTAGACTTGGCTTTTTCTCTAAAAGAGGAACAGAAGACGGCGCTCGAATCGTTCCTTTGCAAGAAGGTTTTTTGCTGACCGGATACGGCAAGAGTCTAATCTACCAGTTAGCTCCGCTGGTAGCTAAGCGTATACGTCACCCCGTGTATTGTTCTGATTGGTCGTAGTGTTATCCAATTGCGTGCAGTGATATTTTCAAATGCATGCTTGGTGCCGCCCCTCGAGTTGGGCCATTTGCATTACTCATAGCCAGACCCTAAATCTTTCTAGATTTGGGTCTGGATTTCCAGGCTAACCCACGTGGGCCTCACATACAATTTTTGCCTGGGACAGAGCAAAGAAGTTCAACTTCCCAGGTAATTAGCTGGATCTTCTGCATCGCTGGGCCCATAGAGCAAGTGCACAACAGACTGTCATGAGCTGAGTGGCTTAAGTGTGCTGGCCAAGCAGCTAACTTGCCGTTTAGCGCTCTGTTGGCTTGAATAGGGATAAAATTATTGAATAATGCTCCAGGCTGAATGTTATCAGACCCAATGGATCAATTCCCAGTATTGAAACAAGTCATTTTGTGGGGGTTGTTGATTTATAGGCATCTCTGTCACAGTGTAAGTCTTACAGAGGAAGTCTTTTTGGGCCCAATGGCATCATGTGACAAACCCAGAAGTTGTAATTCCACTGTTTGGCAACTACAAAAATTGGCTTCAGAGCCCAGCACACTTCCGGGAGTCTGTTTTCGGCTGATAAAATCTATGATTGTCAGCTAGAAATCAGAATGATACTTCCGTCTTCCTCTGTGTAAAGAGCTGTTTCAAAAATGACTGCAAATTTTGAGTGGTATATACGTCACTGTTGCGAGAATAGAAAGGCATAGCAGCAGTATCTGGGGCTGATGGGGCTTAACTAACAGTCAATTGTGTATGCAGAAGCATAAACTAAAGATCAGGTGCTAATCCAGGTGTAGGATTTGCTTAAAGGTTGCTATCTATTGTTGCTATGATTGAGAAGACAAAAGAAAAAGCTTTCTTTCTTAGACACTGGGTATAATAATGCACTTCAAACAAATGTTATGTTTTTGTGTCTCCTAGCTTTATGGATTGAGTTGTTGAGAACGTCTTTTTGATGAAACAGCGGGTGAGCTGCATGGAGAGTCGCCTTGCAGCATGCAAGAGCAACACACTGTCTGTGTTTCCAACCACAATTTAACAGACTGGAAGTCTCATCAAAACAAGGGGAAAGAGCCTAATATAATTACTTAAATAATAACATCCAACTGACTTTAATTAAGAGTTAGGAATTTAATTTCACGGAGGCCGGCTCACGAAAGAATTAAATCACATTCTGCGCTTCATCACCTTTTATCAAGTTCATCAAGTGACACCCTGCAGCTTGTGCTCATCTTGGTTTCAGAACACAAATGGCTGTTTGAAAGCACAGCCCGTTTCAGCCTGTATGCCTGCACAGTGTGTCATTTTTACATATCACTGTCTGCGAGTACAAATCAAGGTGTAGGAGATAGATGTCAGACCGTGATGTTGTTGTAAGCTGAGGGAAACTTAAGATGAAAAAGTCAAAGGAAATGTATGAATTGAATGTGACTTCTGAAAAAAGTAACAGATATAGTGGAAAGTACAGGAAGTATCAAGCAGTCCTCTGACGCTCACAATTTATTACATCGTTTTTTTCACTCTCTTCCTCTCCCACATACACAATCACAAACGCTGTATTTATAACTTGACTGGTCCACCCTGAAACCTCATCTGCTGACTCAGCACTCTCTGCAGCCCCACAAAGACTCTGCTGCCTTACAAAAAAGACACGCATATTCACACACATACACAGAGAGCTTATCTCCATATCTCCTATCTCAGGTTTTTTTTTAAGTCAAGATATGGTAAGATCTACCTTTCTTTTCTGTCTCTTCTTTTTTGTTTTTCTTCACAGCTCCATTTCCATCAGACAGAATCAAGATGAAGGCTTTGTCAGGAGTAATCCTGGCT